GACACAGAGTGTGGACACACAGCGAGGACACAGAGTGTGGACACACAGCGAGGACACACAATGAGGGAGGACACAGAGTGTGGACACACAGCGAGGACACAGAGTGAGGACACAGAGTGTGGACACACAACGAGGGAGGACACAGAGTGTGGACACACAACGAGGACACAGAGTGTGGACACATAACGAGGACACAGAGTGTGGACACAGCGAGGACACACAACGAGGGAGGACACAGAGTGTGGACACATAACGAGGACACAGAGCGAGGACACACAACGAGGACACATAACGAGGACAGGGTAGGGAATACACATCAGCCTCACGCGCTCCAACGTAAACCAGTTCATTCAAAAAGCAGTTAAACTCGTACACGGCTACATGCTAATGCTAACGAGTACGTCCATAGAACACGGCTAATAGCTATGCTAAGGTTAGCTAGCTAACAGAAGACGACACAGAGGTTATCATTATTATAATTATATTATGACTCACCTGATCAACGGCCGCTTCAGATGATCAGAGATTAATACAATCAGATTATATTTAGTTCAGAATGTGACGATGTGAAGCTGATTATCTCATTTTAAGGATAAATACATGAAGGACTTCACTTCGTGAGCTACGTGAACTCCAGCGCACCGGAAGTAGTCCCCTCAACAAAAAGCTGCTTCCGGATTCCACCCCCACCAAAATAAGAGCCGTGCACTTAATTCGATGACATATTTGCAGATTTTAAAGCAGTTATTTAAAACATTAAAACTTTTTTGTGGTTTTACTTGAAAATATCACGATTGTATTTGGAAAGTATTTAAACAAACCTAAATTATCTGAGCAAATACATCTTATATACAATATATAGTAAGTACATACGATATATAAGTATACAGAGTATTCATATTAATACCACCTTCCATAATGTAAAGTACAGAGTATTTATATGAATACCACCCTCTATGCTGTAAAGTACACAGAGTATTTATATTAATACCACCTTCTATACTGTAAAGTACACAGAATATATATATGAATACCACCCTCTATACTGTAAAGTACACAGAGTATTCATATTAATACCACCTTCCATGCTGTAAAGTACACAGAATATTTATATTAATACCACCTTCTATACTGTAAAGTACACAGAGTATTCATATTAACACCACCTTCCTTACTGTAAAGTACACAGAGTATTCATATTAACACCACCTTCCTTACTGTAAAGTACACAAAGTATTCATATTAATACCACCTTCCATACTGTAAAGTACACAGAATATTTATATGAATACCACCTTCTATACTGTAAAGTACACAGAGTATTCATATGAATACCACCTTCCATGCTGTAAAGTACACAGAGTATTCATATTAATACCACCTTCCATGCTGTAAAGTACAGAGTATTCATATTAATACCACCTTCTATACTGTAAAGTACACAGGATATTCATATTAATACCACCTTCTATACTGTAAAGTACACAGAGAATTCATATTAATACCACCTTCTATGGTGGACTTAATTCTTCTGATGGACTTAATTAACAAAACAAAGCCATCTTGCCCTCTCGATATAATACCATCCTCTCTATTTAAGAAAGTTCTGCTAATTATTGTTCCCTGCAGTAACATCTATTGTCAATTCCTCATTGTCTACAGGAATTGTCCCTTCCTATTTTAAACATGCCACTATCCAGCCCATATTAAAGAAACCAAACTTAGATCCGGCATTGCCTATGAACTACAGGCCCATATCAAAACTGCCTTTCCTGTCCAAAATCTTAGAGAAAGTGGTGAACAACCAACTTACTGCTGCACTGGAGAGGCACAACATGTACGACAAATTCCAGTCTGGGTTTCGCAGACAACACTCTACTGAAGCTGCTCTTCTGAGGGTTTCAAATGACATTCTCATGTGTTCTGATGCAGGTGACTGATCTGTGCTAGTTCTTCTGGACCTCAGTTCTGCATTCGACACTGTAGACCATAACATCCTGATTAAGAGGCTACGTGATTGGGTGGGCATATCTGGCATAGCGTTAGACTGGTTTACATCTTACCTCGCTGACAGAACTTTTAATGTCTCTGTGGGTGATTTCGTGTCTGTTACCTCTCCACTGTCTTGTGGCGTACCGCAGGGCTCGGTTCTGGAGCCTCTGTTATTTTCCCTTTATCTGTTACCTTTCGGACCAATTATAAAAAGTTACAATGTGTCCTATCATTTATATGCAGATGATATCCAACTCCATCTGTCATTCCAACCCAGCGAGGCCTTCACATTAACTAGGCTCCTGGACTGTGTCAATGCCATCAGAGACTGGACGGCAGAAAACTGCTTACAACTCAACGACACTAAGACGGAGGTCCTAGTTATTGCTCCAGATGAGTTTGTCTCCATGATCAGGCAGAGTATTGGTCCACTCTCCTCTGCTGCCCATTGCAACCTGTGTGATCTAGGGGTTATTGTGATCGATTCATGTCGTTTGACCCCCATGTTAAGCAGCTGTCCAGATCATGTTTCTTCCATCTAAGAAATATCAGTAAACTGAGATCTGTAGTATCAACACCTGAAAAAGAGATGATCATACACACATTTATCTCTTCACGCATCGACTACTGTAACTCACTTTTCACATCACTCAGTGTATCTGCTCTTAACCGTCTGCAGGTCATTCCAAACGCTGCCGCCAGATTACTCACCAGGACAAATCGACGGTCTCGCATCACCCCCGTACTCCGATCTCTCCACTGGCTCCCTGTAGCATCTAGGATACACTTCAAAATTCTCACCCTCACTTACAGAGCACTACACGGTCAGGTTCCTACTTATGCAGCTGATCTACTTCACCCATATTCACCCACCCGCGCTCTCAGGTCAAACGCTCTAGGTCTTCTATTAGTTCCACGCACACGATTTAAGACCCGTGGTGACCGAGCCTTTGAGGCAGTGGCGCCGAGGCTGTGGAATGCTCTGCCTGCAACTCTACGCCTCGCAGATTCTGTGAATACTTTTTAAAAAACTGCTCAAAACCCACCTTTTTAGGCTGGGGTTTGAGTAAAAACCCATGTCCTGGACCTGCTCTTAAAATATGTTTTATTTTTTATTTTTTTATTTTTTCTCTGTGTATGTAATTTATTGACCCTATGGTCACATTGTTTTTTATGCTTTTAAATTTCTGCTCTGTTAAAGCACTTTGTGATTTAATGTCTGTGAAAAGCGCTCTATAAATAAATTTTATTATTTTTTTATTATTCTATACTGTAAAGTACAGAGTATTTATGTTAATACCACCTTCTGTACTGTAAAGTACACAGAATATTTATATTAATACCACCTTCTATACTGTAAAGTACAGAGTATTCATATTAATACCACCTTCTATACTGTAAAGTACACAGAGTATTCATATTAATACCACCTTCTATGCTGTACATATCTGATCCACAAGGTATACAATGTATTCATATCATACCTACAACTCTATTACTAGTATTACTTGTAATTACTGCACAGATCTCTCCCTCTCTGTATGTATACATATATATAATATATATATATACTGTATATTATAATATATCTAATAGTATAAGTACATACATGTATATATGACGTTCTTCTGAATATTAATGACTTTAGTTTTTTATCGTCATCATTTCATAAAGTGATAAAAACAGTAAATGTTCCAGGAACAGAAAGTCGACACATAATAAATAAATAAATCTTTTATTTTCCTTCACGATGAACATTGAGATGTTGTCCAGAGACGATCATGACCTCATCGTGATTATATTACATCATGTTGTTTGTTATCATATCATTTTAAACTATTTACCAACAATCATGTGAACAGAGTGTTGTTTAAAGATGATGCCGTGTAATGTGTCAGCAGTTTATAGATATAATAATAATAATATAATAATAATGATATCGAGGACTGAGTCAGACCTCCTATCAGTCGGGTCCACATGACAAGAACCAGTCAAAGGTCTCTAACTGATCTGTAATCAGTTACAGGTTAAAGACTCAGACAGGTGAGGACGAAGACAGGTGAGGACGAAGACAGGTGAGGACGAAGACAGGTGAGGACAAAGACAAGTGAGGACGAAGACGAAGACGAAGATGAAGACGGAGCTTTTTGTGCTCGTCGCCGCACTCGTCTGCACTGCCTCAAAGCCGCTGAGCAAGGCAGCGCAGAGGAACAAGCTGCTGCTGGTCTCCTTCGACGGCTTCAGGTGGGACTACGACCAGGACGTGGAGACGCCGCACCTGGACCAGCTGCTGCAGGACGGAGTCAAGGCCAAGTACATGACCCCCCCGATGCTCACCATGACATCACCGTCACACTTCACCACCATCACCGGTAAAGACGACAGGACTAAGACGAGTACTAGTACTACTGCTAGTACTACTACTGCTGCTAGTACTACTACTGCTACTACTACTATTACTGCTACTGCTACTACTACTGCTACTACTACTACTACTACTACTACTACTGCTGCTACTACTGCTACTACTACTATTACTGCTACTACTACTACTACTACTACTGCTCCTACTACTACTACTATTACTGCTACTACTACTACTACTGCTGCTACTACTACTGCTGCTACTACTACTGCTACTACTACTACTACTGCTGCTACTACTACTGCTACTACTACTACTGCTACTACTACTACTGCTGCTACTACTACTGCTGCTACTACTACTGCTACTACTACTACTACTGCTGCTACTACTACCACTCCTACTACTACCACTCCTACTACTATTACTGCTACTACTACTACTCCTACTACTACTACTACTATTACATTACTGCTACTACTATTACATTACTGCTACTACTACTACTACTACTGCTACTACTGCTAATAGAACTGCAGAGTACTGAGGCTAGTACTACAGCAGTATCTGTACCAAGTACCTACTGCACTCCAGTACCTTGACTTGTTCTTGCAATAGTACTTTGAGCCCAAATGTTTGTACTGTGGACATCTTACATTAGATTTGTATTAATTATAATAAATATAATATTCAGTCCTTGTTTGAACCCTAGAACAACGTTCGCGGTTAGCATCGTTTATTTGATTGATGGAGTTTGTGTTCCAGTGTTTTCGGTGAGTGATATTCTAGTTCTATCTATAGAACGTTACAGCACTAATTACCATACCATACACCATAGCAGGCTTGTTAGCTTAGCCCGTTTGTTAGCTTAGCTCATTTGTTAGCTTAGCTCGTTGTACCAAAAAATACACTCTAAAGAGTAATTTGGTACAAACAAGCTTATTTTTCTTCGAAACAAAATTAGCATCCCAAATAATATCTCAGTGAAGTACGGACGCTAACTCAGTGTTTGTTATGCTAACAGGACACGCCCCCACTCTCACTCTTCCCTTAGCTCCGCACATCTCGTCCAAATATGGTCACCCCTGGTTCCTAAAACCAAGATGGCGACGGTCCCAGTGCTTCACTCTGAGCTTCAAGTCATGTGACCGTGGTGGAGTTCCTTTATAGCCTAGCGTTAGCGTGTTGCTTCTGCTGAATGTGTTTCACCATGAACATTACATGACTTCCTGTTGTCGTGAGTAACTCTCGGTGTTTGACAGGCAGATGGGTGGAGGACCACGAAGTGGTCCACAACATGATGTTCAATGCCAAGACGAACCAAAAAGTTCCTCACAAACAGACTCTGACCAGATCGGAGTGGTGGGACAACGGAGTTCAGCCGTTATGGATCACAGCTCAGAACCAGGTGAGTCACCGATCAGCATGATTGATCACAGGAGAATATACCACGAATATACCATGAACATTAGTTTATTTTCTCTAACCAACGTACAAATACTCATCAGAGCAACAAATGTGGATTAATCCGTCACTGAAAATACTACCTGCTCAGGTACTCTGTTCTCCACCTGTTCAGGTACTCTGTTCACTACCTGCTCAGGTACTCTGTTCTCTACCTGTTCAGGTACTCTGTTCACTACCTGCTCAGGTACTCTGTTCACTACCTG